AAATTGTAAATACAAGATTACGTAGTAGGATGAAAGATTATTTTTTTATTAGATCACTTATTCTTTACATTGAGAAACAGTTTGTTAAGATCATAGACACGAATTTTATCATATATGAATTTAAAAACATAAAAGCACATCGAGCATAGCTTGCGATACCTAATATGAAAATCTAATGTTAATTTTTTTTTATTTTATGTCTATTTATAATGATAAATTTTAAAATTTATATTTAAATTATTAATTAAATTTTATATTATATTTAATTTAATTTCAAAAATATTTTTTTTTACTTTAAATGAAATCATTAATCCAATATATAATATTGTATGATTACTCGCCACCCTTTATACAAAATCTTGAATCCATCGCTGCTTTGTTGTTATTGTGATAAAGTTAAATTTCCTTACATATAATTTAATCTTGTACTTTGGATAAGGTTATTGAGATGATTTAATATTGGTAATAGCTTGAAGCAAATAAAACAAATATATACAGCTTAGCACATTCTTTGATTTAACTTTTTAACACTAAAGTTGCTTAGGAATAAAAAAAAGTGTAATTTACTTCATGGACTGTTCAAATTGCAAAACATTAAGTTGAAAAAAGGAACACATTGTTTCTATTAAGAATATTAATCCATAAATTAATTATTGAACTAAACTAAAGGTTGCAAAGTTATATCTATCAAAAGCTACCATTGGTATTTAAGCCACCAATATTGTTTTTATTTAATAGATTGATAGTATATCTATACTATATAAAAGAAAACCTAGCTGGAGCTTTCACGTTTGGTCATGTGGAGGTTTCAAGAGGAAATTGTGAAGCTGTTCCAACAAGACTCTCAAATTTTGCCACGTGGATCCTATAAAAAGAGTATTTTACTGTGTCTAGTGGGTAAGCCGCCGCATCCTGAGAGGGATAGAATGGGCGAACCGTGTGCAGCGCGTTGATTTAATTCTAATATAATATAAAACAAGACTTAAAATATTAAAAAGGTGCTGGAAGTATCTCACTTCATATATAATCTTTTATTTTGCCCAAAGAATTCTTTATCATTTGGTTTATATGGATACAAATCTTTTAATCTTGAGGTAAATTTAATAATTTTTAAATTTAAATTTAATTAATATTTTCTATTCACGTAACACATCGTAATGTAATCATACAAAAACTATTTTGACCACATCAATATCATACAAGCTGATAAGTGAGCATGTTATATGCTACATGAACAAAAAAAATCATTTATTATTATGTTTGACATTCGTTTACGTCCTTCTTATAAAATAATTTTAAAATCAAATCTTTATTATTTAAAGAAATCTTGAAGATAATGTTGGAAAGAGATTCACTAATTAAACCTCCATAAATCTATTTTTATTTCTTTTATTTTAGGTGAAACTTACTTGACATATCAAGTAGGCGTATCTATTAAACAACTCTACGTTTTTTCTTTCTTTTTCCATAAATAAAGAATTTTTAATACAATTTAGATATCAAATAAATTATCATCTATAATACAAATTTCCTCATTGATTCCCTTCTATTTGAGCATGTCATCATACCTTGAGAATTACAATCCTTATTCTGATCAAATTTTAGAAATTTGTTGATCGTTAGAATAGATTTGTAAATCCGCTTAATTGACTTGCCATAAATCATTTCGTAATCCTTTATGTTGTAAGGTTAAAACCAAAATATATTTTTTGCCTTGATGTTAATGAGTAGGTTTATGTTATTTTTCAGATACCTTAGCATGAATCTGGTAATTTGGTAAAATATTTGGATTTTGTAATATTTCATTAAATTTTGAAATTATTGTTTAAATTTATCTTAAATATTACTCGTTAAATACGAAATTCATAAAATATTCTATTAAAATAAATTAAAAATTAATTTTGATATATATTATTAATGAAAATTCCTTGAGTAAATCAAGGTTAACTCATAAAAAAATTAAAAATTATACTTAGAACAATTAATAAATTTTAATAAGTATTAGATTAATTATAAAAAATTTAAAAATAAATAATATATAAAAATTAAGATTTAATATTAAAAATAATTATTTATATTCGACTATAGATAGTGAGTACTTTATGATTACTATTCAACCTTGTAATGTGTAATAATTTTACTATTAAACCTTACTCGAATCAGGTTATAAAGTACTCAAATATTACTTAATCATATCGATTGATGTAGGATATTTGATTATAAACTACACATTATCATTCTTAATTTCTCTTATATTAATGCAAATCAAAAGATTAAAGTTTTTTTTATATAATAAAAGAATAAATTTTTTTAACATAAAATGAGATAATTTAGAAATTTTTTTATTATTAAGCCAAAAATCAATTAGGAATACCAATTGCAATCGGGGTTATCTTTTTCAATTATGATATAATAAATCTTTCTAAAATTCAAGTACTACTGTACTACGAAATTTATAATATTTGGGTGCGCATGGAATTGCGTCAACGGAAAAATTGGAGGCCGCCGGAAGCCGTCCGTCTTCCGCGCAAGAGAGACTGATGTCATCAACCTTCACTTCGTTTCCACGTCAACGATCCTAGTCAATAACAAATCAAAATCCTATCTCAGACGTCGATATCCCTTCCTCTTCAACCACAATCCAACGTCGCAAGCTAACACCAACTCAGCAATCCGCGCCGCACACAATGTAATCCCAAAAATCCAAACCATCCCGACCGTCAATTCAATCCCATGACTGACCATTATCCCACGGTTCAAATCCACCACGTCATCGATCCTTGTGAAACCCAAGCAAACCAATAACCCCTCCCACTTCTCTTTATATATAGACCACCAAACTTCCCAAAACATATATCTCATCTACCATTTCCTTCGAATTCAACTTCCTTATCCCTCTTTTCCCCAAGGACAAACAAACCCTAGCCGTGTGAAAAAATGGCACCAAAAGCAGAGAAGAAGCCGGCAGAGAAGAAGCCGGCAGAGGAGAAGAAGACGACGGTAGCC